ATTGATTTTTTAAATGTATATATTTTCTTAATTTATTTGCCTACTATCACTTTATAAAGTGTATTGCATTTAAAATATATGCAAAAGTCTAATTCATTGGAGGGAAATTAAGATTTCCTAAACAAATTGGGATTTGTCTACATAAATATTTTACTTTATAAAAAGATAAGTTACTTCAGATAAATACAGTATAAGCCACAAAGAATACAACCTATTTGTTCCATAATACTTAATTCTATGTTCTAATAGCAAACAATAATATGTTAGCCTACTGAGAGTATTCTCAGAAGATTAACTCTTCTATTAAATAGCCTAACAACGTAAACGAACGTATTTCATTCTATCTATGTTTGATAATATTGTTGTCATGATGGTTAAATTTAAAAAAAGGAGATGTAAAAAAATAATCATAGCATATATTTATGGCCAATACATACGCTAAGAGAATTGTAAAACTATACAAAGAGTGCTTCAAAGGGCATTTTGAAACTCCATTGATAAAATACAAACGGTATGTTAGTAATTGCCTTTACGTGATATAAATTAGAACAAAACTAAAATGAATTAAAAAATCCGTTATACGTAATGGCTAATTTATGTGACAATATTTATCTAAGATAGAGCGAATTAAAATGTTGTTTTAAAACATTGTCTGAATATACGTCTTAAATATGATGCTGAAAATGGTTTTTGGACAAAAAATACACAGATTGTTTTAATTGGGATTTTTGAAATTACTGATTGATTACAAACAATATTTTACTAAATATCTTTATGTAACATTAACAAAATTTAAAAGTAAAATAAAATGGTTTAAAAACTATTTTTCAACTTAACAGCAAAATTTTGAGTTAATGTTTATCGCAGTAAGAGGTAATAAGAACACGTGGTTTTTTTAACATCGACTAAATATAGCTATTAAATATTATTGAGGTTGGAAAGGTTTTTGATCGCTGCAGATTACTTAATGTTTTCCATTTTTTTAAATTACTTGAATAAATTGCCCGTTTCATTTAATTATTTATAACGTAGGCTAGTCCAAAGTTAATCAGAAATGACATTTTATACATACATACTATATTCATGTACGTTGCAATGAAAAGAGATTTTATTTTAAAAAATAATTCACATCACCTAAGAAACCCTATTGCCGTAGCTACTATAAAACAAACCAGCATAAAAATACTGTTAAACATTAATAATATTCCAATTACTAAATAATTAACCTTTACAACAAAGGTTATAAATCTTTTTCTATAATGAAAAATACTTGCAGTTATTTTTCAACTTACTTTACGTTTTACAAAAAAATTTTTGGGGTGAGGTAAGCATAAAAAAAACAAGCTAACAATTATTTGTTTTTACAATAATACGTAGAATAAAACAATGAAAAATCTTATTTAACCCGTGTTTTTCTAAGTAGGTAGTTTGGTTACTTTTCTATACAGATCTAAACTGGAGTGTGTAAACTTTTTCCGCGACATTAGCAACGCGGCTGGTTACGGCGTACATCGCCTACAATCTGAGAGACGCAACAGTTCTAGCGTTTTGGAACTTCCGATCTGACTAGTAGCGTTTTGGATCTTCCGACCCGACATACGATCGCAAGATCCAAAGTGAAACGGACAGTCTATTTCATAAGTTTACTTTAAGAAATAAATTTGTACTTCTATTTATGACTGTACTTTTGGATCTTACGATTTTGGAACTTCCGACCCGCTAAATAACCTTTGGAACTTCCGATTTTGGAACATCCGATCGGCAATATAAACGTTGGATCTTACGATTTTGGAACTTCCGATCGGCAATATTTTCTTTGGATCTTCCGATTTTGGAACTTTTGAAGACCATCCGTTCCAATCCCTAGGTCTAGCCTAAAGAAATGAAAAAAAAATCCCAGGCTCAGGCCTAGCGTCATAGGACAAAAAATAAAAACATTTAAAATTTGTTTTATTTAACAAATGAAAACAAAAAACCGTTTAATCCAAAATATTTGGTAATCCTAAATGGGTCAGGTCCCAACCATTTCGGACTATCGGGACTCTACTGTACCAACTTTGGCAAAAAAAATGTTTACTCAAGATTTACAGTAGAACTCCGATTATCCGAATCAATAGGGACCAGACCCCATTCGGATAATCAAAAATTCGGATAAACGGAGTTTTACCGGAATTCCGGGAATTTTAAAGAAAAATTATCATTTTCGGTAGGCTACTAAGTGAACTTTTAATTAATAATAATTTAAATCAGAACATTTTTACAGTTTACAATGCTCATAGTAGGCTACAAGTGTTCTATACATGTTATTAAGTCAATAGTGTTCCATCAAAGTCCAAAATTGGCTAAATGTGTTTAATAACAATTCTTTGATATTTTGCAAAACTTATTACTGTAGCTTTACGTTTTTAAAATTGTTGAAATAAGCGATTCGGATAATTGGAGATTCGGTTAATTGGAGTTCGGATAATTGGAGTTCTACTGTAGTTTGTACTGTATTGTCTAGAGTAGGCTAATGATAAAGGCTAAAAAATGTTCTTAATACACCATTTCAATTACTAGGCAATTTGTTATGAAGTAGTTATTGTGAATTTTCAAATAGACCACAAGTAGGCTATACAACAAAGTATTCCCAAACCACCGTCAATTGCATAAAGTTTAAAATTGTATTTATTTTTTACCATGCCCTCTTTTTTACCAGGCCAAACAATTGTTTTATTAAGACTTGGTTTTGTACAGTATAGCCTTTAGTAGGCTCAAGAAAAACACTCAACTAAATTTAATGCAATACTACAATTTCTTGGCACTTTTATTTTGAAGTATTATTTTTATTTATATCACCAATTAATCAATTAGGCCTAAACAACTATGACACTTAATATTTTTCAGGAATTTCTACAAGCTATTTGATTTGATAACAGGGAATACTATGATAAGTGGATCTATTCATCATCATCTTCTTTATATCATAAAATGTACAGATTGGTACTGTACATGAAATAGTGTCAACATAAGTTTTTCTTATATGAATTGCTAAAATAAGTGATTTTACAGGGTAGTCCAAAACAAAAAAACATTGATTTTAAAAACTTATTTAGATTCTACTCTAATTTTACAGTTTCTGGAAGGTTGTGTAAAAATTTGTTTTCTAAATAACTAATTTTTCTTACAAAATTCCAAATTGTGCTGCTCTACGAATTGGTGTGATCTTGTGTTATATTTATAAACATTGCCACTGATTGCAGTTTTATCATTCATCAAAACAAATTCAATTATCTTATTAATATTATAAATGTGATAATTAATAAAAATAAAAAAAGACTGTGGACTGTGAATATTTTAAGTATACTAAAGACATGCCTTACCGAGGCTGTTGATCTTAAATTCAACATTATCCTCATGACTTTTTTTGCTGGTACAAAACTCTGCCCAAGTTTTTTTCAATGCTAGATCCATATACACATGCCATAGGCAATATGTGAATGAATTAATGCACAACAGACTGCTTTAACGTTTTAATATTACATGATGGAGCAATTTTTCTCACATGTAAATACTGCTGGATATTATTCTAATAAGATTATTAAAATATGATCATCCCATGCCAGGATTTTCATCTATGATTATGCCTTGACTAAATATGTAGGAATTACCATTAGAGGACATACACTACTTACATATTTCCGACCGCATCAATGCAGAGGCAAGTTCTGATATCTTCATAAATTCCCTTCTTGTTTTCTTCATCGGGAAATTCACTGCCAACTGGACTTTTTTTACTTGGAGGACACATTTGTTTTTCCAGTTTTACTTTTTCATTGCTATCAGAGACTTGTGCAAGAGCAATTTTTTTGCTGACTCCTAAAACACATAACAAGCCAGATTATTTAGATACAAGATTCAATACCTAGTTCACAAAATATTATCAGTCATGTAAAAGTGTTATCTGTGAAATAAGTCTACAATTGAGTTCCTGTGGTGACTGAGCAAGGTAGCTAAAATCAAAATCTGACACCAGCACCATGCTCTTTAATAATTTGCTCATATTCCAGCCAATTTTTACCTGTGTGCGATAACTGGTTTTGTCATTGTAGCCGTAATGATATGAGAAGCCAAAAAATAAGAGAAGGAAAATCAACGCTCCCGCTAAGTATGAGTCATATTGTTTGTTTGGGTTTATGTGGTAACTGCTATTAAAGTCCATTGCAGCATACATGAATAGGGTAAAGTATTTGAGCATAAAAAATGTTGGTAAGAAAGGGAGGGTTTGGAGGATTCAATAAGCATTTGCATGATATTAACAATGTTTTGCATTTTATTTTCAGTAGGTCTTTTGTTTAAGGCAGTGACCAACGTTAAGGAAATTGTGTGCACAACATTAGTTTAACGAGTACTCTAGGTTAGCTGCAACAGGAAGGGTAAAAAAGTTTTTTTTGTAACATGTTAATATTTTAGTATGAAATAAGTGCATTTTCCAAATGTGATCAAAATATGCTCATCAACAAGCAAACAACAACAGTTTATTAACAGGTTAGGTTATTCTCCATAAGAATGACAAAGGAATTTAAAATTTACATTTTTTTTTCTCCGTAACCATTAGGCGCATAATAACGCTTCAATATACCAAATTATTTGGGGTTTTTTAAGCTCTACATAATGGTTTGGAAAGAAATTGCAAAATTTTATGTTTTAAGGGTCAAAAATGAGAAAAACCAATTTTTACCCATATGAAAGACTTCCCATCAGTGGCGTACCCCCGTTCCCATGGTCCGATCAAACTCATTCAAATAAATGTAGGTTTACACGTTTATACAAAATTGCATCAATGCCACCCCTCCCCTCGCCACACCTCATCGGTACACCACTGATGAGAAGTCTACTTGTCTTCGTTCAGTTCTCTTAGGCTATGAATGTAAAAATAATAAACAAAACTGAATGGTTCTGAGTAAAGTACATAATCTGCAGTTATTTTTTTTGGACTGATATGCAATCAAGGAACTTACCTCATGCCTCAAGTTTATGTGGTTTATTTGAGATCCAATACTCCTCAATACAATACACTGAGATTTCAGTTTAACTATGTCACTATCCAGGACTGCTTGGTGGATTGGCCTGCAAAATATTGCTCATTTTAGTTAAACTAATTTTAAATCATATAAACTACCATAACAATATCCAGTGCTCTACAAAATGAGGTGCCGGAACTGTAACCTATTTAATGTGATTAGTACCTATTTATGTAGGGCATACCAATGTATGACAATATTTTTATATTTTTGAAAGAGAGGTACCGGAACACCATTCCGCTGTGTTCCGCTAAAAATCGAGCACTGAGGATATAAATTAAAGCCTAAAGCCGCGTTTACACCAGGCCAGTTGGCGGGCAGGCTACTTGCCTCAGGTAATGTTAAATACATTAGAGACAAGTAACCTGCCTTGTGTTAAGGCAGTTTTGTGACTGTATAAAAAAAGTAGAGCAGTGTGCAGACCAAGTTAATAACACTAATACTTAAGCTGGGTTTTCCTAGGCCTTGAACCGGAGCACGGAGAGAGGAATGCAGAGAGCGGACTCCTCCTGTCTTAGGTAATTTAATGGTTACTGTTTTCTTAGAAGCGGAGCGGAATGCCATGTTAATTGCTTTTCCACTCTCCACCCTCCGCTTTCTGCGATCCTCTTCCGCGTCTAGGAAAATCCGGCTTCAGGTTCACAAGGCATCACTAATGGTACTTTATCATTAACCTCATTGGTGCATTTATATTTTGGTACTTGCTCTGGTACATGCTCAAAAAAGAAATTCGAAGAAACAGACCAAATCAAATGACAGTCGTATATGGTGAGTCTAAATTTACATCAATAACATTGTCTTTTCATACCATGTTGTACCAGAAACAGCACAAAGTCTATTAAATGTGTTTACAAGTCTTTAAGACCCATAAGCCCACATAATGGATCATGAGATTTGTGAGTAACCAATTTTTACCATAGAAGGTACAAACTTCAAGAATATCTTTGAAATATCTTACTACCTTCTAGTACAGGTTAAAAACACATGGTCACCAAGATTAGAACAAACTCTCAGAAATAGTTACAGTTTTATTAATCCTAATTAAAAAGTTTTTTAAACAAGATTTATACATAAAAAACATTTTCTATTAATAATATATAATTTAAATTAAAAAATATTATCCAAGAATACAAGGGATAATAACTACGGGACTCAAAAACTACTTGTGAACCAGTTTAACAAGAAAACTTGCTTGAGTTAGAAACTTGTCTCAGCAGAATCGGCAACTCCTTATCAGCAGGTTGGTTTACTCTCAGAACTGACCTTTCAACTGTGCTATTGTTGGAGTCTCCAACAATATGTAATATAGCTTATTGCATCTGAAGAAGCTTGAGTAAAGCTGAAGAACAATATTTAAATTTTATATTTACAGTGGACTGAAGTAAAAAAATGTCTAAGGCCTGAACTAAAATATATATGTAGTATGTACAATGTTTTATTTATTTAATATTTTCCTACATAATTATATAGTGACCAATATGTCAAAAACAGCATGTAGCTTTTGCTCCAAAGGGGTGAGAACTTCATCAATTTTTTGCACTGGTTGCAACAACTGGATCCATCTAAATTGTTTAAATTTGACCCATAATAAAGTTAAAAAGTTCTCTTTGGAAGAGTTAAAAAAATGGAAATGCACTTCTTGTCTACAAAATTCAGAAAAAAAATTTAATGAAGCTAAATGAGGAAAATATTGATGAATGTAAAAAACTACTGACGAGTCTACAAACTGTTTGTCTCTGGCAGAGGAAATAGATAATGCTCTGCTGAAAGAAAATGAAACCCTCAAGCAAGAATTATATGAGGCTAAGAATCAAAGCTCTTTTTTTGAGTTACAGCTGTATGACAACAAAGTACTAGAACTAGAGAGTAGAATAAAAACCTTAGAAGCTAAACTGAAGAAAGAAGAGGAATTGAAGGAAGAAATCATTTCACAAGCAGAAGAAGAAAAAGCAATATATACAAACAATAGCACTAATTTAACAAGGAGGATGGTTTACTGCAATGAATGTAAAATACTTAAAGAGGAAACTAGCAAGATGTTGACGTCAAGAGATCCAAAATGAATATTGAATTAGGTGTCTCAGACCATAGGGCTCTTTTTATAGATATTACAAATAGTAATACCAAACTGCATAAACAAATAATAAGCAAGAAGAGATTATTTTAAGATAAAAATAAGTTAATGTTCTACAAATGCATTTCTGAAACTCACTGGAACATAAAGCCATCTCAGGATGCACAAATTTCAATTGTTTCTTCATTGTTGGTTAATTTTGATTACTGCTTTCCACAAATTTTTTTTTCTATTAGGTTGCATAAGAATTAAGAATACAAGTAAAGGCTGGGTGACTAAACGTATCATTGTATCAAGTAAGCGAGAGAGAGAATTATGTGTAATTTCTAAAACTAATAAGGATTTAAATTTTCAAAACTATTGCAGAAATTACAGAAAAATATTTAAAGCTGTTTGTGATAGAGCCCGTAAAATGTTAAACTGATGTAACTAAATGTAATTATGTAATAACCACGGCTGAAAACAGGAGCCAAGCACTGTGGACTGTTGTCAAGTCTGAACTTGGTGTCTTGAGATCTAAAGCTATGGACTTCCCTGATTTGTGTGTCAGAGATAAGCTGATAACTCATGGTCAGGCTATTTCCAACTTTCTCAATGTAAAGTTTGCAAACACCTCTAAGGATATTAATTCCATTTGCATACCTTGTTTAGGTACTGCATCCAAGTTAGTGAATAATTTTATGAATAATCAAAGAATTAATTTCAAATTCATCTGTTCAAATGTATCTGTATCAGAAATTAAAACTACGATAAAAAAACCCAGTAGGATGGGATGGGATTTCAGTTGAAATAATACAAAATATTATGAACTTCATAGCGGAGCCACTTTATCTGATTTTAAATCAATGTTTTGATGAAGGAATTTTTCCATAACAATTACAAAATGCTGAACTGAAACCACTTTTCAAAAAAGGTTATCAGTAGAAAACCAAGAAAACTATCGTCCGGTGTCAATTTTACCATCTCTATCAACATTTTTGAAAAAATAACATATGAACAAATGTACTCTTTTTTTTAAACAATAATTTATTTACAGATAATCAATTTGGCTTTAGATTAAAAAAAAAAAACACAATATCAGCTGTCTCTGATTTCATAAATCGAGTGTCGGAGGGCTCGATGGATCTCAGAGTACTGCAGTAGTGTTCTGTGATCTGTCCAAGGCGTTCGATTGTGTGAACCATAATGTATTAAGTAATAAACTTAAATATTATAACTTCTCTGATCCTACACACTAACTTGGCTGAGCCTTCACTGTCTTGGATACAATTTTATTTAAGAAACAGGCAACAAAGAACTGTCATTAAGAAAAATGGTAGACATTTCATTTCAAAATTGCAAACCATCAATTTTGGTGCACCCCAAGGATCAATTTTAGGTCCCTTGTTATTTTTGATATTCATTAACGATGTTCCTAACAATGTATCATCAAACCTAATATTATATGCTGATGACACTACAGCTATAGTAATAGGAAAAGATGTACATACTCTTAGATTAGAACTTGGTCGTTCAATTGTAGACTTAACTAACTGGTTTGCGGCAAATGGTTTAAAACTTAATAATGCAATTCCAAACACTACAAAATAAGCAAAACATAATTTTTTAATTACCGTATAAAAATGATATTTTAGCTTTTGTTGAACAAACTACATTTATGTTTTAAGAAACATAGTTGATTCTAAAACAAAGCTGATAGTTTATTATGCCATATTTTTTTCCCTTATGCTATATGGTATTGAGTTATGGGGCTCAATTTCATATGCCTCAACATTTTTTAAGATACAAAAGAAGTTTTTAAGAATCTTATCATTTTCACACAAAAAAAGTCATGTAAACCGCTGTTTGAAACATATGGAATTTTAACAATGCCTTCCCTTTACATTTATAAAATTCTGGTACAGTAGACCCTCTCTAATCCGGCACTGCACCACTCCGGCACTCCAGTAATCCGGCGTCTTATGACGGGAGGTCTTCCGCGACTGCGGCAAAATTCTGATTATCTCCCGCGGCCGTGTAGACATCATAATTCTCTCACGTGGTCAAGAAAACGTCATCGTCGTCTTGCGCGATCGCGGCAAAATCATTAACATCTCCCACGGTCGCGGAAAAGTCATCGTCGTCATGCGCGATCGCGGCAAATTCATGAACATCGCCAGCAGACGTATAGACGTTATCATCGACATCCCGCGGTCACGGAAACGTCAGCGTCGTCAAGCACGATCGCGGCAAAATCACGAACATCGCCAGCGGACGTATAGACGTTATCATCGCCTCCCGCGGTCACGGAAACGTCATCGTCGTCAAGCACGATCGCGGCAAAATCACGAACATCGCCAGCGGACGTATAGACGTTATCATCGCCTCCCGCGGTCACGGAAACGTCATCGTCGTCAAGCACGATCGCAGCAAAATCACGAACATCACCAGCGGACGTATAGACGTTATCATCGCCTCCCGCGGTCACGGAAACGTCATCGTCGTCAAGCACGATCATGTAGACATTATTGTTGCCTTCCACGGCCGCAGCAAAAATTGTATCATCTCCCGCGGCCGTGTAAACATCTTTGTCTACTCCCGCGGTCACGGAAACGTCATCGTCATTTTGCGCGATCGTGGCAAAATCATTAACATCTCCCGCGGTCATGTAGACATTAATCGTAGTCTTCCGCGGTCGCGGCAAAGATTTTATCATCTCCTGCGGCCGTGTAAACATCTTTGTCTACTCCCGCAGTCCCGGAAATGTCATCGTCGACTTGCGCGATCGCAGCAAAATCATGAACATCTCCCGCGGTCACGAAAACATCATCGTCGTCATGCGTGATGGCGGCAATTTTACGATTATCTCCCGCGGACGTGTAGACGTTATCATCGCCTCCGCGAATACGTTATTGTCATGCCCGATCGCGGCAATAGCGGTTTCCGATCACGCGAACTTCGGAGACGTGTTTTAATTGCATTTTAA